CGGTTTTTACGAGTTGCAAATCATTTTAATTAAAATATCAAAATTAGAAAATGGAAAATGATTACATTATTCATTAGTTTTCATTACGCATGTTTATTTATTAGCAAACATTTGTGGCTCGTTGCACTTTTCGATGCGCTCACTGCAGCACGCCTGGCGCCATCTAGCGGCGCCTGTTGCGCACAAATAAAAAAGCCAGCTACAAAAAAAAATTATAAATACTTCACGATTTTCATAAGCAGCCGCATCGAGAAAAGCTTGCAAAGTTTTCTTAACTTTCCTTCGCTCGAAGAAAGCGAACCAAAAAAAAGATAATAATAATGCTTGCGAAATGCCTGTGGGTGGCCCGTTTGTGTGTGCATGTGCATGTGTTTGTGTGTGTGTGTGCGTGGGTATTTCAGCGCGTCTGCGCATAACTTTAACTTAGACATTCACCCCCTTTCACCCGGAATCACGACCCGTTTGGCTTCTCGGCGCCCCAAGTCGAAGACGTTGGCCAAGGCGGCAACTTTGCGTCGTTGGCGGAATTTTTTTTGCATCTTCCGTTTGCTTGCCAGTTGAGTTTTTCCAGCTCTGTTGTCGCGGAAAGCTAACAGATGGCGCCAGCTAAAAAGCTTTGCGCTGCTTCAATTTTTATATAAATATTTTTCTTCGTTTTATTTGCTTTGTGTGCATATATTTTTGGCAAATATATCCATAAGAATTAATAACTGATTGTTCTCAAATATCGCCATTATTTCACACACACACACCGACGCACACACTCATGATTCTGTTAAGGGTAAGTCGCACACACACATACACACACTCGCTAAGTAACGCCTCATCTCTATTCGAGCGTAAGGCATTTCGACCAATTATAAGTTGTGGTTAACCGCAACATTTATTCAAGAAAATGTTCAGCATGTGCCTGACTGGGCGTGCGTGCGAGTGGGCAGGCAATAGTTCCAGAGAGCCGGGCTGGGTTGGCTGAGCGCGCTGGAATTGGGTTTGAGGTTGAGTGAGTGTCTATGGAAGCAGGTACGGGAAAATGGGAAACACCATTGGATTTCACAGAAACGCAGGAAATTATCATAAGGGTTTCTGCTGCTAAAACATCAAATTAACAAACATATGAAGTATTTTAACGCTCTTAAATATGAACTTAAGATTTTCTATTGAAATTGGAGAGTTTATTTTCAGCTTGATATGAAGGATAGCAGGATTAACGGGCACGAACATCAAGACGGACTTGACGCTGTGAACGGAGTATAAAATGTTTTTGGAAAATGTACTTGCAACAATGTCTCATCTGCTGTCTGTTGGTATGTCACTAAGTAACTCATTTGAACAAGTATTTGGCACGAAAACAAAAGCGTAAGCGTCTTAGCTCACTGACGGGGTCGCCGCCATGGGCCGCAGACAAGCTGCATGGAGCTTGCTGTAAAATTAATAGTTTTTCAAGTTGAAACGAATCGCCTTTTAAGTCGGTAACCGCCGCACAATATGTCGGCAGACACTGGTGAACGTTAGTTTGGCAAAGCCGAACCCAAGCAAACCAGCCCCAAGCCCGCCCAGCCACATTGCTGTGCTTTGCACTTGGGAGCAACGCTGCGACATTAGTTTAACGTTAAATCCATTAAAAATCCATTCTAATATATGTCAGGCTAAGGCAACGTGCAGCATGCCGCAGAGCATAATGAGTGACGGGTGGCTGAGTGGGTGGGTGGGTGGGTGGGTGGTTGGTTGTTGCTGTTCTCAGCTGACAGCTTAAAATAAGATACCACACACTCTTTGTGCGCTGTCTTTACACTTTTCCACTTTTCCACTTTACCTTTTGGCTTAAGTGCGACGACGACGCCATTTTTCAGAGTGCCACAGAGCAGAGCAGAGTGCAGGAATGGAGCGAGGGCGAGGGCGAGGGCGAGTGGTTGCCACACTAATGAAACTACGAGATTGAGAGGCGAGCGCAAAGCCAAAGCAGCTTGAAGTTCGCTTACCCGCCAAATTCCGCATTCTCATCAAGTAGCTTTCGCGGGTCTCGCAGCACAGCAGCCCGCACTCCGCTGCATGTTATGGCCGCCGTTTTTTTATTGATTTCATAAAATTTTTATTAATAAACATTCGTGAAATATCCAGGCTTTGGAAAATTGTAACACTGTGGAATTTTTTAATAGAAGCAAAAGCCAACCAAAAACAACAAAAAACCAAACAAAATTCAAACCAGCAACAACAGCAGCAACAGCAACAACAACAACGGCAATTGCGAGTAAAACAAGCGAACTGCACAAATCAGCGTTATAAAATGTTTCCAAAAGAAGAAGCAGCAGCAGAAGATGATGATGATGATAGGCATGAGGTAGAGCAAGAGGAAGCGGAAGGACCAGCAATTAAAATGGCGCTCGGCCCCGTCAGCCGAAAGACTTCAAAAAATGCCAAAAAGTTCAAATACTAATGAATTATCCTTTATTAGGATAATGTATGATGTGGTTCTCTGAAGAGTTTGCCTCTTCACGCAACAACAACAACAACAACAACAAGAGCAACAAAAACAAACAGCAGCAACGCCCACAAGTCAAAAATGTTTCGCTGGCTTTTGCACACACTTACTTCAAGGGGTCAAACCGTTTTATAAAGCAGCTTGCCAATTGGTCAGGCAGCAGCTGTAAATATCTAACCTATATATATATGTATATAGAAAATAGTATGTGCTGACTAGTCAGTCAGGCACTACGGCTGTCAGATTCGTGATCAATACATACTCTAAAACATCATCTTAAGCAGCGAGGTGGGCAAGTCATAGGCACACTGCGCACGAAGTTTGGGGATCGGCTCTCTGTAAATATACTTATATTTTTTAATTTCAAATTTAAGATATTTTAATTTATTAAATTTTGATTAACAACTTCGTGGTTACTTACATTTTCAACATTATTCACATGACCCGGACTAAGTTGGGTTATTTCCTCTAGTATTTCTAGAAATCACCTAACGTTGCATGGATTGGCTTGGGGGATACCAAAATAGAAATAAGAAGTGTATATATAATGTACCTGAACTTGTTATTCATTTACAAGTGTGTTTAAATCTCGTTGTGCCGCAAAGTGCCGACTTCTTCAGTTGTTTTGTAATGTAGCTGGGTCTGCGGACTTATCTCCGCCTAGGGTTGCATTTGGTCTTAAGTGTGGGCGGTGGGTGGTTAGGCAAAATGCGGCTAGGATACTGTTGGCAATTTATGAAAAGAGCCAAATTAATCAGACTAATAACGAAAACACGCCGACGAAAAGGCGGCTGGGCAAAAAAGAAATGGCCAGAAAGGGGGACGCGGCTGCGTGATGAAGGCAACAAGAACAACAAGAACAACAACAAGCGGCAAAAACTTATGCAAAGTTTTCTTAATGAAAAGATTTACGATGGCAATACTCAAAATTAGCAAAAACTGAGGTTGTGGTAAACAATAAGCGCTGGGACGAGCTGAAAGCTGGAGAGTCAGAGAGCGGCCGAGAAGGTGGTGAGGGGGCGACTGTTGCCGTTGCTGGACTACAACTTGGCTACAGCTATACATAGCTGTTGCTCTTGGTGGATACTCTTATAAACTTTTTACTGCCGGTGCAGACTCCACCCGCCCGGTGGTTGAAATAACAAACTTTACGAGAAATTTGCAGACCTTGTTGTAGTTTTTGTTCCTCCATTTGTTGCTGTTGTTGTTGTTGTTGTAGGTGTTGTTGTTGCTGCGGAATATGCTGTAGGCAGTGAGCTGGGCCACTGACCAGGGCTGGACTCATTTTTGTGGTCTACTGTAGGCATTCAATAGTGCGCACCAGATTGCCAGCCCAATTAGTATTCGTATTCGAATTTGTGGCCCTCACCGAAAAGAAAAATCAAAAACCCAACTAATTGCTGTGCTAGTTTTATCCAGAGATTTGAAATTAATAAACTGCACGCTGGCATGACAACTGGCCAACAAGCCGAAACCAGATTGCAGATTGCGGACAACGCTTTCAAAATTAACAATCAAATCCGCAAACAGCAAGTCGAAGATGCAGCACACTCAAGCAACTGGCTCATTGTTCTCTAAAGTCACAACACAGATTATTAAAATAATTCGCATGACATCAATTCTGTAACAGCAAACAATGAAGTAAGCCACCTCTAGTCGGGAGTACCCGACTAGGAGACACCCTGACTGACTGAACCTATACTATACGAGAAATAGCATACCAAGCTTTTATAATTTTCGAGCTATGTTAAAAAAAAATACTATTTCGTATAATGTCATATAGTTCTTCTACACACGCACGTATATGCTTCTTATTTATTCAGCTATAGGAAATGACATTTAGAAACTTTTATGAAATATCCAAAAGTCGACTCCAAAGTACACCTTTTCAATTTCTAGTGAGAGAGGGGGGGGCTAGTGACTAGGTACTCTCAGAGATAGAAGGACGGACAGACAAAGAAACATTGCTAGATTGATTCGGCTATTGGTGTAGAGCAAAATGATATATACTTTATGGGATCGGAGGAAGCTCCTTCTACTTGTCAAAACACTTAGTAAAACAATTATAATAAAAGTAACTTGGCCGAGTGTAAATTAAATTAATTTGTGAACTTTGGTTGGATTAAGTTAAACAAATTGGGCAGGACGTGCTTGGACTGATCCACCTCCCACTTTACCAGAGACCAAACGAACGATACAGAGAATACCTTGTCTGAAATGCATTGGGGTCCATCCTCGGAGGGATCTGATAAGTCCAACCGGAAATAGGTTTTAAAAAATGGGATATAGTTTTGCATGGAGCAAGGATAGCTGCATATAAGAGTTGAAATCGTCGCAAATACTGCTGCAGAAGTCGTTAATTTGTATAGTCACATACAATCAATATTGATTTTCGTAGGTATGTAGGGTATATGCAACACACGACATGCTTCACAATATGCCTCTGAAGCATAAGCATTAATATTGTTAAGTTATATTATGGAGCTATTATGTTTAAAGTCGCAAGAGTCTTTTCAGAATTTTCTAACTGCTACATATCGAATTCAATTTTTTAAATCGATACCATGGAATGCCACAAATGCCACTTCCTTTTGCTCCGCTCCAACCCCTTCCGCACGAGCAGCAGCAGGATAAATATATATGCATATATAGAGCAGCAAAAAAAGGGTTAAAACAATAGAAAATGTTGCCAGCGACAACGTGGACAAGAATAAGGACGAGCGGACGGGTGGCGGAGACGGAGTTCGGGCTGGAGTTGGAGTTCAAGCTCCGCAAAACAATTCTTTATGTGTATTATGCTGGGAACGCTTTTAACGGCCCGTTCAGCTGTTGTACTATATGCCAGGCCGGGCGGGCACAGCCCTCGACTACCCTTCCCAGTACCCACACACACACAAGCCAGCTCCTGGCTTCTCTTCTCTGGCGGCTATGTGAGCCAAATCATTATTACAACAACAATGAACTCTAAGCGCTGCTGCTCCGTTTCTGTTGCTGTTTCTACTTCTACTTCTATTTCTGCATTTGTTTTCGCTGCTGTTTTTAGCGCCGTAAGCCGTGCGCCCCATTTGCTCGGCATTTTTCAACTGCTGCAACCGAAACCCCCCCTCTAGCTGCCGGCAAATCCAGTGCGGACATCGAATCCTTTCGTTCATAAATCAAGTCTTTGGTTTAATTAAATCTTGTGTTGGCGGTAAAAACGCTTAAAGAAAAAAAAGCAAACTACAATAAGCAAGCAATCGCGTAGCAAGACTATAAGATACCCTGCACATAGGCATTATCGGAATAACTCAATTCCTAAATTCATATATTGTGAAGCATCATCAATTGGCAGATTCTTGTTGCCGCTCATAATATGCCCTGCCCTATTTCCCCTTAGATTGCAGGGTATTAAGAGGCGAGGGCTATGAGCGGTTTGCCGTCTACATCCGGCCAAAGTGAAAGCCAAGTAAGTAGGAGAAATTTGAACCAAATATTGTACATAGCTGCAGGCGCTCCAGTCTCCAGTCTGTCGGGAAGAGGGGGCGAGACAGTTGGGAGCCCTGTTAAGGGCAAAGCAAACGCGTCACGTTATAAAATTTCGCCGTGGTTGTCCTGATGGTATTTTTTTTTAGCTCATTTCCGTTTTCTGGCTTAGGTCGTAGGTTGTAGGCCCTGGAATTGATCGCAGTTGCATAAATAACAAACGAAATGAAATTTTATGCCCTCAGTGTTGCCAGCTGAATTGACCTTAAATAAGGTTGAGAAGCTGGCTCAGTTCTCCAGGAAGCCTCTCAACAAGACTATCAGGACTTTAGCAGTACCTTAAGCAGGAGATTTTCATTGGTAGAGCGTGACCAAAAAATTGGGCATTAAAGTTGACAAATTATGTAAAGGGCTTGAAAATAAAATAGAAAATTTGCCTAGTAAAAAAAATACTTTGTCTCTAGCTTTTCTTTATATATACTTAAATGAGAGATTTGGAACTCATTATTTATCGATCTGTTCTATCTAGTTCAGCATGCATATAGTTTATATGCAACATTTTGAGGTTTGACTATACATTAAAAAAAGCAAAATCAAGAAATACATTTTGGTGGTTCTTTACTGCACAAGGCGCGTTCACAGCTAAAAACATGCAGCCCAAATAATTAGTAATAATGTTTCCCGTAGACAAACTATTTTTGGAGCGCTCTTTGGAACACCTCATCTTTATCTTTATCTTAACTTTAGATACACATCTTAGCTCTTAATGAGACCAGGATGTATATTCTAAAGTATAATATCTCCAACATTTATATGAAGAGACGGACGGACGGACAGCAAGACAGGCATTGCACACAACCTTTATACTCTTTTGATATCCTGAATCCTTTGTAAATGAGTAGAAAGGATATACTGGCTTTGGGCGTCGGTAAGCTTGAGATGTGAAACTTTAAAATATTATTTTTGGATACCATACCCATATAATTTTATTTTTTGTTATATCATTCCACTCTCTTAAACAGCTCCCCCCAGTCTACCCAAATTTGGAAGAGACTCACGTTTAAAGCTATCTTTAAAGCCTTGTGATTTGGCTTATGCCCATATTTGAGCCATTGAGGACAGGTTTGCCTTTGTTGTTGCTCTGGCAAATCGTCAAAGAGCACAGCGACAGCAAACGGTAGAAAGATAAAGGGAAAAGCGGAAAAACCGTAAGCATTTAAAGTCGCGTAAGTTCGTGAACTGGATATGAGAAACCAACAAGGACAACAAGTGAGGAAATATAGTATAAAACCGAAAGGGAAACACGTAAAATTGAATGCAAGACACGTTGCAGGATTTATTGCCAAAAGAAGCAGCCGCCAAACGCAGACTAATAAACACTGAGAGCGAGAAATTAAAAACAGGGAGATAGAGAGAGAGAGAGTTAGGGAGAGAGGGGGATAGGAGAGAGACAAGGCCGAGACACGGAAATAGTAAAGTGGCTGTGAGAATGTATAGGCAAATGCCAGCGGCATTTTGGCCAAGTTCTACGTGATGCAATGCGCTGACTGGTTGCCAATGGGACCGGGAACTTGGATTTGGACTTGGACCTGGCGGTTGACTTGGCATCGACTCGGCCGTGCGGCAAAGGGCAAATGAAACGAAACGAAACGAAATGTAATGAAATCCTTTACCGTAAGAATTTCATGCACGTCAACACGTGCTGACTGCGACAGCGGCGTTGACAGCACACTCCAACAGTCCGACACTCCACACGCCCGCAGTCACATCCAAAATCCGTATCTGAAGCATCCCATTCCTTTCCATCCCCATCCCCCACCTCCCCATCCCCCATCCACCTCCTTCGCCGCATCAGAAACTTGTAGCAATTTCTAATTCATATGTTACCAAGGCAGCCCGGAGCACAGCTCGCCCCGAGCTCGATGATTTATGGTGGACGGACGCGAATACGAAATGAAAGGCGCTGCCACTCCTACGAGACACAGTCTTACAGTCGCCACTTCCTTGGACTTGGGCTTCGGTTACAGATACAGCTACAGTTACAGCAACAGCTACTGCTTCAACTCTGGCCTGGCCGTTTAATCATTCAATAGGCAATTTGTTTGGCCGCTTTCTGAACGGCATCGAGCTGAAATGAAATGTTTTACACATTATAGCAACGGCCACTTGCACTTTGCGGATTTGGCTCTGGCTCTGACTCGGTTGCTGGATTGGATCTGGCTATGCATCTTCAGCAACCATATTTAATATCATTTGTCTTTCCAACGGTCCAGTGTGCGGTTTGAAAGGCCCAGCACCCCAGCATCCCGGCTTCCCAGCACCCCCCAGACACCCCCAACCAGTCTTCTCCAACGCCCATCATTTCCTTCCCCTCCGTCACGACATGTGTGCGGCGGTCCGGGCTCGGGCTCGGGCTCGGGTCGTGTTGTGATTTATGATTATCAAAGTATTTGTTACCTTTATGTCCAAGTTATTTGCTCGCACATAAATCATTTCGCTAGCCCAACTTTGGCGCTTTGATTAATTTCTTCAATTGCTGACGCGATTGGCGCCTGCGATTGGCGGCCTGAGTAAGAACCCAACCCGGCTGCTTTTTGATATGCCAAAGTGTTAACGGGAAACATAACTCACGAGTGGTCAACAGGCTACGCACAAATCAGCGCAGCAAGCGCATGGAAATTAATTATTCAGCCAATCTGCTGGCCTACATCAGCAGGCAACATAATATTGCCTTGCATATATGTTGCAACATATTATTTTAATTTCTGAAACAAGCAATCAAAAATATGACTTGACTCCATATATACTCTGTGTGACGACTATACGACGCCTAGAACAATTATTTAAGCCTCGTCCAATCTTTTCTGTTTAGGTTAATTGACAGATTTAAATATCTTTGAAGTTTCCGGTGCTGAGCCAGAGTCTGCCAATTTAGCAAACCACCTGCCCATCACAACCTTAAGCCCGATCTTGGAAACTTTAAGAGTAACATATGTGCAACTTGAAATATATATCCTCCCATACCATTCGCAGAACGAGTTGATCATATACACAGCAGAACAAGTTAAATATCTTTTGAAACCTGTTTTCTTATCAAAATTATCGATAACTATCGGTTTTAAGACAAGGGTTTTGATGCATAACTAGAAAATTATATGAACTAGATATGCCAAGCTCGAAAAGTGGGCTGTCGCATAGTAGAATACACAGATTAAGAAAGTCTTACTTTTTGGATAGACAAAAGTCATTATCTATGTGTGGAACTAAGGGACGAGGAGTTAAATACGCTGCTTGTGTGCATGTGTGTGCTTGGCTCTGGTAGCAGGGTATTTCCTAGTCTGGCACTTGAGCACTCTTACTGCCCGTTTTCATATACCTTATCAAAAAACATATTTATCACATTAGTGTAGTGCGTAAATCTCTAGGCATGGTTGTGTACATATAATTCAGTCACTCGCTCAACTGGTCAATCAGCCCCTGGCTTGGGCTTGGGCTTGGTCTGTGTCTCCGCAAGTAAATCCTAAAAGTAAACTCTGCCCAATGAATTATATATTTGGATTTATTTGAGGCCAAGTAAAACAAATGACCCCAACAATCGTCGCCGCCTTCGGAAAACGCGCATTAAAAAAGGTCGAAAAAAAACAGCAACAAAAAATAAAGAAGGAGAAATAAAGAAAACAAGTAAGCGAAAGTAGCGTAAATAAATAAACGGCAAAACACAAAGCATATTAGGCTAAGCTACTTGCGATTTCCGTAACATGCCCGCCGGCCGGGGAGGCAGCTCGCTATAAAAATGCGGAAGCTGATTAGCCGTCCTTCCACCCACCCAAAATGAACTGAGAGCTGCCAACCTGGCCGGGGGGGAGGTTGAGTTTTATGGGGCACAAAAATTAACAACGCCTTTGGGGTTGTCTTGAGGCGGCTGGCCCAACATCGACGACGACGACGACGACGACAAAAAAAGTTGCCAAGTCTCATAATCGAAATTGGTCACAGGTGGCCCCCAGCAGTTGACCAATACAATGGCGCCGGGCTTGGCAGGCGACCCCAGTTCTTGACTTGACTTATTGAAATTAAATGTGCTGGCCAGCAGATAATACCCATTTAAGGCGTGTTTAGTTAAGTTGAGTTTGATTTGGGTGTTTTTCGGCCCGCTGGCCCTTCCATCGCATAATTTGGCATTTACCTAAATCGAAGCTGTAAAAGGAATATCTGTAGAATGCTGATTATTGCGCCGTTTAAAGTTTGAGGGTAAGCCCCTAAATTAAACATGGCTAATAGTATACTTTGAATTTAGAGTTTAACTCAAATAAAGAGAATTATACTAAATCAGCAAATGATTAACGACTATGTTTCCGATCTGGTAAGAACGGGCTTCTAATATGCTCCAAAAGTCAATATGTCTTTAATTTAGAATTAAATTAAGCACAAATGTTGATATGCTGGAGGTTTGAATACATAACTAGTAGGATTAAGACCCATAAAACATAGACTTGATATTAGTTCAATATGTTATGAGTAAAAGAAGCCCTTAATTATCCTGTCTAAACACAATTAAATGTGGTTCGGTCTGAGAAAACTAATACCAAATATCTATCAAGTAGAAAGTAAAGTTAGGATTTATTGAATTTGAGATGCTAACTACAATGAGGAACAGTCTCTGAGTATACACTCTTAATAATGTACTTTCTATGGCTGATATATTATGATAGAATTATTAATTATTTAACTGGTTATAAAGATGTACCTTCTGATGCTTGGCAACCCTGATAGATCTGTATTCGGCTGTTGTCCAAAGGCAAGGCATAACCGGCAGAAGCGGAGTTTAAAATCTTCCCTTAACTGCGTCCGTGCAACTTCTACAGAATGTCTTTAAGCGGAGCTAAAGAGTGAAGGCATCTGTGAGCACCTGAATTAATACTAGTAAATAAGCCGCAGTAGAGTTCAATGTTTTTTATTTTATTTAATAAGTCTCAAATTGTTCTATCCTGTCCAGCTTCAAGCTGTGGCTATAGCTTTAACCTGTACATAAGTCAATACGAAATACAGGCAGGCGAACAAAAAATGTAACTCAATATGGACGAAGGGCTTTTCAAAATGGCCACGAAGTCCGAGAGATAGATGGATAATTCCCTTACAGTTCGTCAACGGAGACTTTGTCCACTAAACCAAACTGAACTCCGCCCGACAAGCTGACACAGAATGTGTCAAGTCAAGCTGAAGACGGCCTGACATGCTGGGCGCTCGTCTCTGTTGTAAATTTTTAATCAAATCTGTGAAACGACAGCAGTCATTAATTTTCCTTCCGTGTCCAAGATTGTGGCCATTTTTCTTTTGGGCTTTGTCACTCCCGTTTCGGCTACCTTTTTCACATTTACATGTAAGGCAAAAATCCTTGATGTGCTAACTCAGCTCGCAGACAAGAGTGACCGCAAGTTTTCGCAGGACGAGCGTTGAAACGAGACACTTTCAGATCGTTTATCTCCAGAATGGAAAATGGGATGAACTACTCCACGCTTAGATGGTGGAGTTAAAGTTTGACTTCCTTAAGGAAATTAACATTCCTAAATTTGCTTAATAATATTAAGATGCTGCAAATTCTAAGACTTATAGATATAGGTACTCATATGCTGATTCTTGTTGCAGGAAACTCTAGGGTTCGCAAATATCTATGCTATCTTTGGAAGAACTGCAGTTCGTTTCGGTAAATAGCTAAAGATGTGGCAGGAAATCAAATAGAGATTGCGCTGCCGTCGGGTCATCTTTAATTCAGTTGTAAATTTGGGAATCGCATTAGCCGCATTGACATTACTTACGATGGCCAAATAGTTTTGGGCCAAATGTGAAACATATGCCGCTGACACATAGTAGTAAATCCGAAAGCTGGCAATATATGAGGGGTAAAGCAATGGCGTGGTGGCTGCAGGCGGGGTTAGATCTCTGGGGCCTGATGTTAGCTGGATAGATGGATGACGGCGTCCGGACATTGATAAATCACATATGTGTACTTTTCTATAGAAAGCGTGGCCATGGCTACATGCTCTACAGGCGCTCTATCGCGGGCTATTTGAAAACGCGACGTTGCAAACAAACCAGTCCTCCCCCCATCCAAGCCTCTAGGCACCAACATATTGCACTGCTGTCATGTGCTGTGCTCACGCACACACTTGGCCAAATTCAACAATTTTCTGCAGCGACATCAAATTACGAACTCATTATTGTTAGCGACGACAATGGGCCTTGGTCGTGGGTGGCACGTCCATCGGCCATGGATGCGTCCATCGTCCATCGTCCATCCAGGTTCGTTGGTGTTTGCGTTGGCGCGAATTTTGCCAAAAATTCGTTAGAGTCGCGGGGCGGTGCGGGTCATGTGCTATGTGTTTTTTGGGGGTATTTGTTGACGTTGATAGCGAGCATTTGGGCGAG